AATTGAGGAAAACTTCCCTGGTCTAGCCAGAGATTTAGACATTCGGATATAAGAATCTCAATGAATACCTGGGAGATTTATTGCAAAGAGGCAATCACCAAGACATATAGTCAGAGTGACCAAAATCAACATGAAGGAGGAACTCCTGTGGGCCATGTGGTGAAAACATCAAGTAACATACAAAGGAAAACCCATCAGGCTAACTGCAGAGTTCTTAGAAGAGACCTTACAAGCCAAAAGGGATTAGAACCTATCTTCAGTCACCTTAAATAGAACAGCTGCCAACCTAGAATTCTGTATCCTGCAAAACAAAGTTTCATATATGAAAGAGAAATAAAAACGTTTTTGGAGGAGCAAACACTGTGGAAATTTGTCACAAGCAGACCTGATGTGCAAGAAATACTCAGAACTGCATTATACACGGATCAGCACAAAAGACACCCACCAGTGTAAAATCACCCAAGATCTAAAACTCACAGATTGTATAAAACAATAGCATAGGAGGGAAAACAAAGCAATAAGGTACATACTGACATAATGAACAAAATATCACTCCACATATCAATTCTGTTACTCAGTGTTAACAGTTCTGAATGTCCCACTCAAAAGACATAGATTGGTTGAATGAATGAAAAAAAAAATGCAACCCAATTATCCATTGTCTCCAGGAAACACATCTAACCCACAAGGACTCTCACAGACTCAAGGTGAAGGGATGGAAAAAAATATTCCACACAAACAGAAAACAAAAGAAAGCAGGTGTATCCATTCTCATTTCAGATAAAATTGACTTTAAATCAATAATGGTAAAGAAACAAAAAGAAAATACAAACATGGTCATGATATAATGGTAAAGGGAGCAATTCAACAGGAAGACATAACAATCCTAAATGTATATGTTCTTAATACAGAACCTCCCAGATTCATAAAGCAAATTCTACTATACCTAAACAAAAAGATAAATAAGAGCATCATAATTGCCAGGGATTTCAACACACCACTGATAGAGCTAGACAGATCATCGAAGTAGAAAATAAGTAAGGAAATGCTGGGTGTAATCTTAACTCTAGAACAAATGGAAATACCAGACATTTATAGAACATTCTACCCAAAACTATTGAATATACATTCTTCTCATCAGCATTTGGGACATTCTCCAAGACTGATCATATCTTAGGCCAGCAGTCCCCAACCTTTTTGGCACCAGGGATTGGTTTCATGGAAAAAAATTTTTCCACAGAGTGTAGGGAGGTGGAGTGTCATGGGGGAGCATGGTGCAGAGCTCCGGCAGTGATGTGTGATGCATTTACTAATAGGCCATGGACCAGCACCAGGCCATGGGCTAGGGGTTGGGCACTGCAGTCTTAGGCCACAAAACATGTCTCAACAAATTTAAAAAAATCAAAATCCTACCACATATCTTCTCAGACCACATTAGAATAAAACCACAAATCAATTTGAAGAGAAACACTCCAGTCTACACAAAGTCATGGAAATTAAACAACCTGCTACTGAATGATTATAATAATGAAATTAAGATGGAAATCAAAATATTCCTCTAACGGAATGACAAAGGGGGCATAAGCTATCAAAATCTATGAGATTCAGCAAAAGCAGTCTTAAAGGGAAAATTAATAGCCTTAAATGCCTACATCAAAAGGACAGAAAGATCACAAATTAACAACCAAATGCCACATCTCAAGGAAATAGAAAAGGAAGAGCAAACCAAATCCAAAGCCAGCAAAAGAAAACAAATAACAAAGGTCAGAGCAGAACCAAATGAAATGGGAAAAACATACAAAGGTTCAACAAAACAAAAATTTGGTTCTTTGAAAAGATAAACAAAATTGGCAGACCTCTTGCTAGATTAACCAGGAATAGAAGAAAAAGAACCCAAATAACCTCAACCAGAAATGAAAAAGAAGATATTACAACTGATACCACTGAAATACAAAATATCATCTGTGAATACTACAAAAATTTCTATGCACATAAACTAGAAAATGTAGAGAAAATGGACAAATTCTTAGAAACACACAACCTCCCAAGACTGAATGGAGAAGAAACAGAACTCCTAAATAGAGCAATAACAAGCAGTAAGATTGAAGCAATAATAATAATTTAAAAAACCTCTCTAAACAACAACAACCAAAAAACCCCTGGACCAGTTGAGTTCACAGACAAATTCTATCAGACCTATGAAGAATAACTGGTATCTATCCTACAGAAACTATTTCATATATCAAGAAGAAAAAAATCCTCCCTTACTCATTCTATGAAGCCAGTATTACCTTGATAACAAAGCTAGGAAAGGACACAATAAAAAAGACAACTACAGACCAATATCCCCTATGAATATAGATGAAAAATCCTCAGTAAAATACTAGCAAAGCAAATTCAACAACACATCAAAATAATAATACACCATGACCAAGTGGGCCTCATCTCAGGGATGCAAGGATGGTCCCACATATGTAAATAAATAAATGTGATTCACAACACAAACAGAAGCAACAACAAAGACCATATGATCATCTCAAAAGATGCAGAAAAAGCATTCAACAAAATCCATCACCCTTTCACAATAAAGCCCTCAACAATCTGGGCATAGAAGAAACATATCTCAAAATTATAAAAGCCATATATGATAAACCCACAGCCAACATCATACTGAATGGGGAAAAGTTAAAAGCATTCCCACTAAGAACTGAAACAAGACAAGGGTTCTCACTGTCACCACTTCTATTCAACATACTACTAGAAGTCCTAGCCAGAGTAATCAGACAAGAGAAAGAAATAAATGGTATCCAAATTGAGAAAGAGGAGGTCAAACTATCACTTTTGGCTGATTATATGATCTTATATCTAGAAAATCACCAAGAGACTCCTGGAATTAATAAATAAATTCAGCAAAGTCTCAGGTTACAAAATCAACACACACAAATCAGTAGCATTTCTATATACCAATAATAGATACCCACACACACTGCCTTAAATCAGAGCTACTTTAAATATTTGGAAAGCGGGCAATATTTTCCTAGAAAACAAATATTCCTGGGTCAAGAAAGCAAAACTGTGGATCATAACTAATAGAAACTGACTCTTTTGAGATATGAGATGCAGAGAGGGACTTGGCCCTCAAGCCCATTCAGTGAGTAGCTGCAGGAACAGGGTTGCCTGGTCTCTGCTACCAGACCAGGGCCCCTCCATTCAGGAGATTTTGCCACTCAACTCTCTCCTCTCCAAAACCCTCTAGCCATGGGGCCATCCAGACTGCACCGACCCTACTGGAGACGATGCCCTGTGTGATTCAACCCCTCTCCTGGCTCTGAGCTAGAATTAGACTCTCTAGGGCTTCTAGATATCTGTAGGTCTAGAATAAGTGGTAGAGTCTGAGTTACCTGAGTGTCTTCAGGAATCCCTCTATTTGGGTAATTCACCAGGTTATTCAACCACCCAATTCTGGAACCTTAAGAAGAAAATTTCACCAAGACCCCCAAAAGTCCTTAACTGAGGGCAGCTATCATGTATGCCATCCTCTAAGCTTGACTATACTCTCTACCTAGATACCCACCTCCAGGTCTTTATCTACTCTCCTAAGGAACTTGGAAGTCTATTTACACCTCCCAGGAAATTTTTGTGAAATTCTCCTCAGAGACCAAAGCTGGGACCTCCAAAGGCTAGACACTGCTTTCTCTCCACCTGGGCTCAGCTGATCTCTCAGATAATAAAGGAGAGTGACCAATTAGGAGAAGATGCCATCGCCCACCCTAGGGAGCTTCTCCAGTGAGGCTCAGGGCTAGGAATGTGTTTTCAGGAGGGAACGTGGCCTGTATTTCCCCTGAACCCACCATTCTCCTCAAGACATGAAGTGTTAGGGAAGGGGCAGAAAAAAAAAAAAAAAACCCAGGTGGCAGCAGTCTCCCATAACTTCTTCTTTCCAAGGAAATAAACACAGAGTCCCTCAACCAGGCTCAGGACTGATGACACACAGAAACCATCAACATAGCAGTCTTCACTGGGGCCTGCTATGGTTTGAACGTATCCCAAGAAGGTTTATGTGTTGGAAACTTAATCCCCAAATTCATATATTAATGTATTTGGAAGTGGGGCATTTAAGAGGTGATTGGGTCGTTAAGAAGGAGTAATACCTTTCTCTTGGGAATGAATTAGCTAGTTTGGGAGTCAGCCTCCTTTTCTCTCTCCTTCTGCTTTTCTGCCACACTATGAAGAAACAAGAGGCTCTCCCCAGATGTGACCACCCCATCTTAGACTTCCCAGCTTCCAGAAATGTGAGCTAAATAAAATTCTTTGCTTTATAAATTACCCAGTCTGTGGAATGTGTCACAGCAACAGAAAACAGACTACAAAAGGGCCCCATGGTCTGGGCCAGTTATGACAAAAAAAGATCAGGGATAGGGAGGATTAATGAGGAATCTGATTTTACCTCTTCATACCTCTACTTGCATGTCCAAGTGTTTTAATAGTGGAAACTGTGACCCCTTCAAACAACATAATATTGAGAGCAACGCTGGTTTATCAGAGCAGCCTGGAACCACACAGTGAGCTCAAGCACAGTGATTGAGCCCTCTTCTCAGTTCTCTTCTGGCATCTCTGCATCTCCCTAGTAGTCTCCTCAACATCCCACCTCCACAAAGCCCCCATCTCTCCTCTGAACCCCCACCCACAAGATTCTGCAGTTGCCTGAAACTTCAAGAAGGTGATGGGTAACTATACTTTTGGCCAGTGTGCTTTAAGGGAGACCAGTGTTTGGCACTCTTGCATTTATTTATTTGTTTAAGTCCTTGGGTTCAGAAACAATAAAAGACTTAAAGGAAAAGGATTGGGTCAGGGAATGATATTTCAGGAATAGGCAGGTGATACTCACAAAAGCAAGACAATGTGACATGATGTTCAGGCTTTGTGAAGACACAGAATCCAGCCACATAGCGAGAATACCATTTATGGCTAATGCCAAAGTCCCCAAAAGCCCCACTCACCCCTTCTGAGTGTCCAGGATTTCCTGCTGGTGAATGTGGTCATCCTGACTCAGCAACTGCCTAACGATGTTCTTCTTGCAACACCCTCACCACACAGACATTCCTGTAGGAGAGGGGAGAGATGGTAGAAGCCCACATCCTGAGAATCAGTAGACCAGGAGGAAACTGGTGGTCAGTTCACCTGTTGGGTGAAAAGCCTGAAGGAAGAAATGCAAGACACTCCTGAACTTAGCAGCCTGTGGAGAAGGCGCTGATGTTCCTAGTCCTCTAACCTTTATCTGCTCTCTTCTGGGCCAATGTAGCTAAGTGACTACCTTACCACAGAGGGCTGGGGGTGTTAGAAGATGGACACTTCCCTAGTGCCCTAATCAGGCTACCTGTATGATCCCTCTTGCCTCAGTCATACCCAGGAATTTGCTGAACCTCAGCTCTTCAGAATGGCTACACTAGTCTATACTCCTGACCTAAACCCAAACTTTCCAGCTTAGTGGTTTTGCTGTTGTTATTGTTGGCTTGTTGTTACTCCAATGAGTATAAAGGGAAAATTTAGATTGTTTTAATTTGCACTTTTGTAATTATAATTCAGTTCAAGCAGATTTTTAGATACTTTCAGCCATTCATATTTCCTATCCTATAAATTGTTTCATGAGCCTTTGAACAGTCACTAATGGATTTTGTAGAGAAGTTCATGTACTATCCCAATGACCAGCTTGAAGACCTGAACATCATACCCCAAGTAGCTGAAGCAACCATGGTCACCAAGCTATCCACCATTTGCACCTGAGTAGGAAAGAGTTTTCCATTACTCTGGCTGTGTTTTGGCTACATTACTCTGGTCCCTGGGGTGAAGAATAAATGAAAGTTCTTAACTGCCTTGTCACAAAAGGAGAAGAAAATATTGGACTGTCAAACAAGCCCCTGAAATGGAAACAGTCAGGAAAACATCACAAATTCCTATACAACACAGAACTGTTTCTGGAAAAGATGATGGTGGTCAAAACAGGGATCATTTAGATAAAGGGACTACGAAACCCCAGGGTCTAACATCACTGATCTGGTCATAACTGACCGAAACTGACACAACTAAACAAAAGCCTGAAGTTGAGAGTCATTATGAAAATCCTAGCACAGTGATTCTCAGCTGTGGCTGCGCATTAAAACCCCGAGTAGCTTTGAAAACTCCCGGTGTCAAGGCAATGCCCCAGACCACTTGAATTAGAATTTCTGGAAATGGAACCTAGCTATCAATAATTTTTTTAAATTCCCCATATGATTCCAATGTGCAGCCACTGTACTAGCAGAAATTTATTCATATTTTTATCATAGAAAACTCACACACATAGTAACCAAATGGTAGAGATGTAATATGCAGCACCTGACAATGTGCTACTTCCCAGTGTAAACCTTTACTTATAGAGTCACTGGAGAAGTGAAAGCCCTTATGTAGAATGAAGAAGTGAAAAACTAATCTAAAATTAGTTAAGGAGAAAATCCTGGTTCATTTTGTTAAGATAGACAATTTTTTAATATCTTGGATTTCTTTTTATATAAAATTAAAATAAACAGAGCATCAGGAGAAGTGGTAGTGAAAGCTGTGAGTTAGAGAAGTAGTGGAAGAAGTCAACCATAAAGCAAAACAAACAAAGGAAAACACTACACATCAATGTGTGCCTAAAGATTGTACCCACCATTGTTTTATAACTGTCAATGGAATTCCTAACAGGTGATTCCTATTTGTAGAAGTCAGACTAAGGAAGGTAGAAATATATTATTGCCATGGTACCCATGTTTTCACTAACAAAATAAATAGTCACTCTTTTATTTTGAAGGATATTTTGGAGCATTTATTTTTACTCAGGCTCAAAGATGCATTCCAAAGATGCATCTTATGCATTGTTGACACAACATCCCTAGGAATGAAATAGATGGGTGACCTACTAAAGTACTACTGGCATACATAAACAAAATAATTCTAGATCTAGAAGCAGAAATGTAGGTTGAGGCCCCATGATATGGTTTTACTGCCAGTTCTTACCACTAAATCAATTAAGAGGCTGAGAGCCCCTCAACTGAGGAGACAGGTGTCTTAAAGGGCACAAGTGTAGCCTGTAAATTTTCTCCACGCTGACTATAGAGGAATCTGTGGCCATTTATCAGGTGAGTGCATACAGACAAAAGGGAAAACCGAAACCTTTCTACAATGTTAAAAATAGGCTCTGAACTTATGCTCGTCATAATTGCTACCACAGTCCACTGGCCAAAGCGGAGACTAATGGAGGTCAGGAGATGTGTTACTTTCCTATTGCTCCTGTAACAAACTACCACAAACTAAGTGACTTAAAACAACACAAATTTATTATCTTACAGTTCCAGAGCTCCGAAGTCTAAAATTGGTCTCATTAGGCTAAAATCAAGGTGTCAGCAGGGCTGTATTCCTTTTGGAAGCTCTAGGGAACAATCCATTTCCTTGTATTTTCCAGCTTCTAGAGTCTACCCGTATTCCTTGGCCCATGGCCTCTTCCATCATCAAAGCCAACAATCACATCACTGGGGCCTCTGCTTCTATCCTCACACCTTCTTCTTTGAGTCTGACATTACATTGTAACATGGTGATTTCTATACATCCAACACTTAATCATTTTTTTTAATCTTTTAGAAGACAAAAATAAAGAGAACTTTCTAAATCACATCAAAGATATCTACAAAAAATCTAATTCTTTGCACTCGCATAATGGTGACATTTAAAAGCATTTACATTCAGTAAGGAACATGAAAGAATGTCTATTGTTATCCCTACTATTTGATATTGCATCGGATATCCTATGTAACTCAGTAATAAAAAAATCAGATTTGGAAGTTGGAAAGGAAGACACAAGTTGCTGTTTCAAGCAGAAATAACTGCTTATTTTATACAACAATATACATATAAGAGAGCTCAGAAAAATTGACGGATAAAAGGCCAAAATATAAAAATCAATACTTGTCTTATAAACCCACAAAAACTATCATATAGTTCTAGTAGACTGCATTATCTTTCAAAATATGTACTGCTCCTCTCCACAGGACCACTCCTTAAAAGAAGATTATACATCCCCGTCCCGGTGATGCCATGCTGGGACAAGTGACTCATTTTGGCCATTGTCATGTGAGCACAGTGATATACTCCATTTCTGCAGAGAAACTCCATAAACCACTACACGACTTGCCTAATTTTTTCACTTTGCCACAAGACAGAAATATTTCATACAGAAGCTGCTCTATCACTTGAGTTATAAAGACTCATAAATCAGCTGCAACTAAAGAGCAATGGACACATAACACAAGAAAGTTTACGAATGAATGTGGTGATAGGGGTGGAATACAGCTAACTTTTTTACTATCAAATTCTATTCATTTGTGGTGACAGAATGAGGTCAGTGTGCTAACACAAATGGTTGAATTGATAAAACAGATCCACACAAATCAAACCTTACTCTACATCAAACTTAATGATAAATCTTTTAATGAGTTTAAAAGATACAGGTACACAGTAAGCATTCTTTAAAGACACAGGTACACACTAAGCATTCTTTCTAGATAAACCTGAAACCATCTGCCAAAAATGTCCCTGCCTCCTACATTAGGTTAATCCAGAGTATCTCCTCCCCACCATCATCACCCCCAACCAGAAGACAATAAACGGGATGAGAAAAGAACCTAAGGGGCCCTAGAGACTGAAGGCCAAGCCATGGGCCTCTTAGGGCCTGTTTTCTACCAGGAAACCTTCCAGGTCCCTCCCTTCCTTCCCTTAGCCCAGGGCTACCCTAGAAGAGTCCAAAGAGCCAAGCAGTCCTCTGGACAACTGAGCAGGCAGAATCCTCTCAGAGCACTAGATACACTGCCCACCAAGCAGGGTCAGCTCATGTCTAGCCCAACATTCCCATGGGATCAGGGACACTGGCTTCCCAACCACTCAGTGGCCTCAGCCCCTTTCATTCTATCCCTACTCAGCCTTAGCCTACAGCCTGGCTCCCAGGATAAGACTCTTGCCAGCCACTAGACTATTTTTGCCTTTTGAGTTAAAGAAGATTCTCTCTGTAGGATGATAGGAAGGCTATTTATCAACTATTAAGTAAATGTAACTCACATATGCCAGGCACTGTGCTAGGTAGGCACTGGAGAGCCAGTGGTGCACAAAGCAAGTATGGTTCCTGCTCTCACTGTTGACAGTTGGGACGTCCTGACTTGAAAGCCACAGGTTTATGATGCATCTGCTGGAAATCCTATATGGCCTAGACCTGGGTTAAATGTCCAGAATAATAGCCATGACTCTTGTTTGTAAAGCACACTACATTTAAATTAACTCATTGATCCTGGAATAGGTTTTGTTGGCCCTAGCATGGAGGGTCATTATCATCTCTTATTTATCAATTCATTTCATATCTGTGCTCTGTGGAGCTTCAGAAAGTGGAAAGGAAGAGAAGAGCAATAAGTTAGCTACTCCCAGCCCCCCAGTCCTTCACTTCAATCAGAAGAGCATATCTCTAACTCTTTTAGATACAGGCATGGTATAAAATTTCCCTTGAAAAAGAGGGTCCTTGGCCTTAAAAAGTAAAAATTTGGAGCCACTGTTGGAGAACAACTTCGTCCTTTAGAATATGAAGAAACTGAGGCACAGAAAAGGAAGTGACTGCACAGGGCCATTCAGCGAATTACCCCCAGAGCCAGGATTGGAACCTTAGTCTCCCCACTACCAGGCCAGTGCTCTTCCAAACAGGAGATGCATCTACTTAGAGCAATAAGAGGCCTTAAAGCTTCCCCAGCCACCTCCTGACTCATCAGCCTACACCCCAACCACCCTGGCCAAGCAACCATCTGGCTACCCAGATGCCAATCTTGACAGATAGCACACAGAATTCAACCACTTCCCTTTAACATCCTACATAAAACCATTTGTACAAAAAACATAGGTGCCATCTGACAGTCCATACAATGCTTAAAGACAGTTGTCACACATACCTGCCCCACCTCTAACCCAGGGCAATTCTATTGAGTTCTAAGTTAAACACCTCCACCCTTCACTCCTGGCAGTTCTTCATTTGTCCTCATATGAAATAGCTGGGA